GTGAACCCGTCTGGACCTGGGCTTTTTTTGAGTGGTAGGCTCTTAATTGCTGCCTCGACTTCAGACCTTGTTATTGGTCTATTCATAGTTTCAGCTTCCTCCTGGTTTAGGCTTGGGAGGACACAGGAGTCCAGGAATTTATCCATTTCTTCCAGGTTTACTAGTTTATGTGCATAGAGTTGTTTGTAATATTCTCTGATGATGGTTTGAATTTCTGTGGAGTCTGTGGTGATTTCCCCTTTATCATTTTTTATTGCATCTATTTGGTTGTTCTCTCTTTTATTTTTAATCAGTCTGGCTAGTGGTCTGTCTATTTTGTTGATCTTTTCAAAAAACCAGCTCTTGGATTTATTGATTTTTTGAAGGGTTGTGTCTCAGTCTCCTTCCGTTCAGCTCTGATCTTAGTTATTTCTTGTCTTCTACTGGGTTTTGAGTTTTTTTGATCTTGCTCCTCTAGCTCTTTCAATTTTGACAATAGCGTATCAATTTTGGATCTCTCCATTCTCCTCATATGGGCACTTATTGCTATATACTTTCCTCTAGAGACTGCTTTAAATGTGTCCCAGAGGTTTTGGCATGTTGTGTCTTCGTTCTCATTGGTTTCAAAGAACTTCTTTATTTCTGTCTTCATTTCATTGTTTACCCAGTCAACATTCAAGAGCCAGTTGTTCAGTTTCCATGAAGCTGTGCGGTTCTGGGTTGGTTTCTGAATTCTGAGTTCTAACTTGATTGCACTATGGTCTGAGAGGCTGTGTGTTATGATTTCAGTTGTTTTGCATTTGTTGAGCAGTGCTTTACTTCCAATTATGTGGTCAATTTTAGAGTAGGTGTGATGTGGTGCTGAGAAGAATGTGTATTCTGTGGATTTGGGGTGGAGAGTTCTGTAAATGTCTATCAGGTTTGCTTGCTCCAGGTCTGAGTTCAAGCCCTGGATATCCTTGTTGATTTTCTGTCTGGTTGATCTGTCTAGTATTGACAGTGGAGTATTAAAGTCTCCCACTATTATTGTGTGGGAGTCTAAGTCTCTTTGTAAGTTATTAAGAACTTGCCTTATGTATCTGGGTGCTCCTGCATTGGGTCCCTATATGTTCAGGATCGTCAACTCTTCTTGTTGTATCGATCCTTTTACCATTATGTAATGGCCTTCTTTGTCTCTTTGAATCTTTGTTGCATTAAAGTCTATTTTATCAGAGATGAGAATTGCAACTCCTGCTTTTTTTTGCTTTCCATTTGCTTGGTAAATCTTCCTCCATCCCTTTATTTTGAGCCTTTGTGTATCCTTGCATGTGAGATGGGTTTCCTGGAGACAGCACACTGATGGGTTTTGGCTTTTTATCCAATTTGCCAGTCTGTGTCTTTTGATTGGTGCATTTAGTCCATTTACATTTAGGGTTAATATTGTTATGTGTGAATTTGATACTGCCATTTTGATGCTAAGTGGCTGTTTTGCCTGTTAGTTGTTGTAGATTCTTCATTATGTTGATGCTCTTTAGCATTTAGTGTGATTTTGGAATGGCTGGTACTGGTTGTTCCTTTCTATGTGTAGTGCCTCTTTCAGGAGCTCTTGTAAAGCAGGCCTGGTGGTGACAAAATCTCTGAGTACTTGCTTGTTCGCAAAGGATTTTATTTTTCCTTCACTTCTGAAGCTCAGTTTGGCTGGATATGAAATTCTGGGTTGAAAGTTCTTTTCTTTAAGAATGTTGAATATTGGCCCCCACTCTCTTCTGGCTTGTAGTGTTTCTGCCGAGAGATCTGCTGTGAGTCTGATGGGCTTCCCTTTGTGGGTGACCTGACCTTTCTCTCTGGCTGCCCTTAGTATTTTCTCCTTTATTTCAACCTTGTTGAATCTGACGATTATGTGCCTTGGGGTTGCTCTTCTTGTGGAATATCTTTGTGGTGTTCTCTGTATTTCCTGCATTTGAGTGTTGGCCTGTCTTGCTAGGTGGGGGAAATTTTCCTGGATGATGTCCTGAAGAGTATTTTCCAGCTTGGATTCATTCTCTTCGTCCCCTTCTGGTACACCTATCAAATGTAGGTTAGGTCTTTTCACATAGTCCCACATTTCTTGGAGACTTTGTTCATTCCTTTTTGTGCTTTTTTCTCTAATCTTGGTTTCTCGTTTTAGTTCATTGAGTTGGTCTTCGACTTCAGATATTCTTTCTTCTGCTTGGTCAATTCGGCTATTGAAACTTGTGCATGCTTCGCGAAGTTCTTGTATTGTGTTTCTCAGCTCCTTTAATTCATTCATATTCCTCTCTAAGTTATCCATTCTTGTTATCATTTCCCCATATCTTTTTTCAAGTTCCTTAGTTTCTTTGCATTGATTTAATACATGTTCTTTTAGCTCACAAAAGTTTCTCATTATCCACCTTCTGAAGTCTAATTCCGTCATTTCGTCACAGTCATTCTCCGTCCAGCTTTGTTCCCTTGCTGGTGAGGAGTTTTGGTCCTTTCTAGGAGGCGAGGTGTTCTGGTTTCGGGTGTTTTCCTCCTTTTTTTGCTGGTTTCTTCCCATCTTTGTGGATTTATCCGCTTGTCGTCTGTGTAGTTGCTGACTTTTCGATTGGGTCTCTGAGTGGACGCCCAGATTGTTGATGATGAAGTATTTCTGTTACTTGGTTTTTCTTCTACCAGTCTGGCCCCTTCACTGTACGACTGCTGAGGTCCACTCCAGGCCCTGCTTGTCTGGGGTGCACCTCTAGCAGCTGTGGCACAGTGAGGGATGCTACTAGTTTCTTTTTCTGCTATCTTTGTCCCAGGATGATGCCTTCCTAATGTCAGTCTTTTGGATATAGAGGGGTCAGGGAGCTGTTTGAGGAGACAGTCTGTACTTTATAGGAGCTCAATTGCTGAGCGGTGAGCTCTGTTGTTCATTCAGGGCTGTTAGGCTGCTATGTTTGATTCTGCTGCAACAGAGCTCATTAAAAAAAACCTTTTTTTCTCAAATGCTCTGTGTTGGGGGGTTCGGGCTTTATTTTTGGATGTCTGCTGAGGTGTTCTGCCCAGCTAGGAGGCAGACTAGCCAGTTTGCCTGCCGAGGCTCCGCCCTGCTGTTGTGTGGTTCTCCCTGATGCTGCAGGCTCTGCTGTTCTGCTCTGGTCTCCGCCACACCCTGCGGCAGAGTCTCTTCGTTGTAGTGGGTTGCCTCGGCAACGGCAGGCTGCGTCAGCAGTGGGCGTGTATCTCAGCAGGGACGGGTTGCCTTGGCAACGACTGGCTGCGTCGGCAGTGGGCGTGTATCTCAGTTGGGGCGGGTTGCCTCGGTAATGGTGGACACCCCTCCCCCTCAGAGCGTCTCGGACCGCCTGCCCGGGGATTGTTTGAAATCGCAGTTTTGTTCGTCCCACTGGGCTACCCCAAACGCTCTGTCCCTGCAATCCCCTGGGCTGGCCCCCTGTCCAAGTCTCGTTCAGTCTCAAGTCCAGCCCTCTCAAGTCTCAGGTTGCCGGTTCAACAGGGCACCCGGACAAGCGTGCCCTGTGGGGAGCGCTGGGGTGGCCAGCAGCCACCACCCCGGCTGCCGGCTTCGCCAGGCAGAGGTACTCCCTGGCGTCCCGCGTCTGCTTTATACTTGGGAGTTTCCCCGTTTCGTGGGCAACAAAGATCAGTCTGGAAATGCAGCTCCGACTCACCTCTCCGCGGATTCAACGAGAGCTCCAATCCTGGGTTGTTCTCACAGCGCCATCTTGAGTCCTCCGAGCAGGATAAGCTTCAAGGGTATTCGAATACATTTTTAGTACTATTGTATTGGCAAGAAAATAATCAGCAAGGTTTGTCATCCAGTGGGCTAGGCTTCATTCTGGGCATGCAGAAGGCTGTATTCTGAGTTTATCTTCGAAAGAGCTTATATTGCTTATACATTTCTCATTCAAAATACTACATTTCATTTATGTCTTAGCTTTCTCGTTCGCTTCTGATGCAATGAGTGTTCAATATTATGAATGTGGACCAAAGCACAAGACAGGGTCATTCTACAGGTTGCATCTGTTCTTGCTTACAATATGGGATCCTGACGGATGGCTCTCACTGTGATATGCCCATGGCTTATAAGCAGCCTACAGTATGATCGTTCCGTAATATATAAAGTACATTCTGAGTCTGTTTCATTCTGGAAAGCCAATTGTCTCAAGTGTCTTGATGTGTGTACCATTGTGTTACATAGTTGGGCATTTTATTATTGGTGTCACTCATCAAATTTGGTACAATGGGCATTCTCATTTTTTTTTTGCCAGTAGAATTCCCACAAGTTCAGCTAATAACCTATCTCTTTCCCAAATTGCAGAGTTACAAGTTGACATTTCTTTATCTTGCTGTTTATCTTCAGTTAGAAAATGGGGGTTAAATGCCTATTCATGGCAAGCTAGTAGATCTTATGATGAGCTGTCAGTTTCTGCATGATCAGACAACCCAACTCATGTCACCAATTCTAGTCTTCAGTGTTTGGTGGGACACAGACAGCATCCTTAATGCCATGAGGTTCTTGATGAGGACATTTTGGGAGAAATCCCAAAATGTAGAGTTCTTTTGGGAAATGATGACCCTGCTGAGCTTTGCTCAAGGTATTGTACAGTTGAAGAGACTAATTGACTTGGTGTAAGGGAGGTGCAGTAAGGAGCTTGGGGCCATCTCCATAGTGATGACCTTACTCTGGCCTGGCTCACAGCCTCATTAGAAGTGTGTAACCTCTCCACCTGCATGAATTTGGAGGAAAGTGGAAAGAGAAGAAAGGGGAAGGAAGATGAACTGATATTTGTTAAATAAATACCTCCTAAGTGCCTGGCATTGTGTAGAGAAGATTAAAAACATATAACATACACACACACACACACACACACATATATATATATATATATATATATATATATATATACAGTTGTATATGGACATTTATATATGTTTATACAGACATACAATATAAACAGTATGTTTGATGCTTCCTCATTAGACTCTATTCATCAAAACTCTGTGGTATATGTATTCATTCCTTATTTACAAACCAGCAAACAGGCTTGAAGAAGTGAAGAGTCTGGTCCTAGATCTCCCTGAAGGTGATGCACTGATTTTGAAACAGGCGCTTTCTGCCTGTAACGGTATGTGCTCATTTTCCTTGAAGTTTTTTTATGATTGGTTAGTTGGTTTGTTTTCTGTGGTCCTCCACAAAGCCTCCTTTAAAGTTTGCTGCTGTGCTTTGTTTCCCCTCTCCCCAAGAGAGAGTTGCCGGGATAGAATTAAATATTGAGGCAGGGCAGGCAGAGTGGCCATGTTACTGGAGAAATGTTGGAACATAATGAGAAGAGTCCGTCTTTCAGTCAGGAGTTTGGCTTGTCCTGGGAGAACAGGGAGCCATGGAATGATTTTAAGTGGAGATTCTAGAAAGGTGCAATTGACCATGGATCGGCAGCAACCAGTTAGGGGACATTTCTTTCACCTGTGTGGTTTTTATCTTAAGATAGATATGAACTAAGTATGGCACACATATATGTTCACTATTTCCTCCTTTGTGCTATTCTGAATTAAAGTATTGAAAACAAAAGAAAATTCTCTAAATCTGGGAAGGACAGGGATTAGCAAACAATTTAGTCTAATGAAGAAATATCAGATAAACCCAAACTGAGGGATATTCTATAAAATAACCAGTCTGTACTTTTAATGAAAGAAAAAGACTGAGGAACTGTTTCAAATGAAAGAGTAGACATGACAGCTAAGAGCAGCATGTGATCCCAGATTGGATCCTGACCTAGAAATTTATTTCTCCTTTTCCATAAAAGGCATTACTCAGACCATTGACACAATTTGAATAACTGTACATACATAGTAGCATTGTATCAATGTTAATTTCATAATTTCCATAAGTGCACTATAGTTTTATAAGAAAATATCTTTGTTTTTAGGAAATACATAGTGAAAATTATTTCAAGGTAAAGGGGCTACATGTCTGTAAATTACTCTCAAATATTTCAGAAAAAGAATGACATTTATAGCAAGAAGAATGATAAAGCATATATGTTAACATGTTAGCTTTGGGGAAATCTCGGTGATTGATGTACAATAATTCTCTGTAGTATTTTTGTAACTTTTAGATATGTCTGAAATTATTTTAAAATAAAAATTACAAAGAATTTGGTGGAATGAAGAGGAGGAGGGTAAACCAGGCAGGTCTGCCTCTGTGCCCTGGGAGGCCAGACTTGAAGTCCAAGATGAGGGAGTTGCCCTGCCAAAGCTGATGCAGGGACTTCTGGTGGGGGGTGGGGGTTGCAGGTAGGGGAGGAGGCTCTTAGGAACCAGGGTTGCTTTGGGGTCTGATAATTAGTGTGACCAGAGTTTGGAAGGCTTGCAGTCTCTCCTTAGCCCAGTTGCCTTTATCTCTGTTAATGGTGTTGGTGTGTCCCCAGGCCATGTTTTTCTATTTTTTCTGCACATACATGTGTAAGGAGTACTTGTAAGTTCATTGGAATAATGAACTCGAAGACTGAAGCAGGAGGAAAATGACCTGGGTTAAGGCAAGGAATGTAGGCTGAGGAAAGCTCTCACTAGGGACGTTTGCAAGAATTACGAGCCTCCCTGGATGTGAGAGCAACTGACACAGAAAATGATTTACGTATTTCTTTTAATTTTTGGTTTTTTAATGTTTGGCTAAAGGAAGTCTGACTTACAATGCATTGCTGACTTCACTGTCCTAGGGGGCCAGAAAGAAAATGTGACTTCCCTCCCAACTCATTTTATTTGTCATTGCCCAAGGGAAGGGAAGAGCTTTTCAGCTGCAAAGAGACAGTAGCTTGGAGACCATATTTGTAGAAGAAAGGAAAATGTAGGGGGGTGTGAATTCTGACAAAGCAATAAAAATTGGGGGATGGCATCAATTCTTGGTGCAGGACATTAAAGTGGGAGGAGAGGTGGGGGAAGAAAGAAAGATGCGAAGGACCCGAAAATCTTACAAGAGATCTCTTCCTTGATGCAATCCTGCTATTAGCAGAGAAGGAATTCTCGTAAAATGTAGCTGTTGTTAAACATAGAGTAAGCATTCATGAAATTTGGAATTTGTTTTCTTTTGCAGCAGGCTTAGGAAACAAGAAACAATGCTTAGTTGGCTGCTGCCCTGTAAAAAGAAAAAAAAAAACAATGCTTAGTGGAAATTAAACAAATTAATGGAAGCAAGTGCAGATGGTCATCATGCTGAAAAGAAGGAAAGAAGTCAATTGCCCTAGTTCCTATTCCATTCCCTCTAACGCTCTGTGCTTTCCAATCAGCAACGTGAATTGTGCTATCACTGCAAAGATGCATTCTATATCCTAACAGAAGATTTTTACAAGGAGTAAAATATATGAACACACTGAATAAATTGACTTGGTCGTTCCTTTAAGCAAAATTTTTGGTCCTGCATCACGTAAAAAGATAAAAAAGGAAAGAAAACAGACCTAGGTAATTATGTGTGGACTCCATTTCTGCTTGGAGGGTGGATAGGAAGCAAAGCAGGTAGAGGAGAAATGAGATTAGAACAATCAAAATGAGCTCAAACAAAAGCCTGGTTGAACTATTGAGAGTTTTTGAGGTTTTATCAAATGTGGAAACCATTTATAATACCTTTAAACCATAAAGAGCGGATTTGTTGTATAGATTATGACATGTCTTTATAATGGAATGCTATGCAGTTTTTCCCAAGGGTGAGTTACTTTTCTATGTTTTGACTTGGAAGGATATCCAAAATAGAATATTGAGTTCGTTCTATTTGTTTTTTTCTTTTCTTTTCTTTTTTTCTGAGATGGAGTCTTTCTATGTTACCCAGGCTAGAGTGCAGTGGCGCGATCTCGGCTCACTGCAACCTCGGCCTCCTGGGTTCAAGCAATTCTCCTGCCTTAGCCTACCAAGTAGCTGGGATTACAGGCACATGCCACCACGCACAGCTAATATTTGTACTTTTAGTAGAGACGGGGTTTTCACCGTGTTGGCCAGGATGGTCTTGAACTCTTGACCTTGTTATCTGCCCACCTCGGCCTCCCAAAGTGCTGGGATTACAGGCGTGAGCCACTGCACGCAGCCTGAGTTAGTTCTAGTTTTTAAGGAAATAACATATAGTGCATTAAAAAAATTAAAAAAACCTGAAAGCACAAATACCAAATTGCTTACAATATTTATGTCAGGGTAGGAATGAAAATCGCAGAAAGATTTTCAGTTCAGATGTCCCACACTTTCACATTCTTAAAATAAATTAGCCGGGCATGGTGGTGCATGCCTATAATCCCAGCTACTCGTGAGGCTGAGGCAAGAGAATCACTTGAACCTGGGAGGCGAAGATTGCAGTGAGCTGAGATGGAGCCACTGCACTCCAGCCTGGGTGACAGAGTGAGCAGAGTGAGACCCCCCCGCCGTGTGTGTGTGTGTGTGTATTTTTTTAATTAACGTGGGGTTTTTTTGTATAATCAGAAAAAAATGAAGCTATTGGTGCTCCGAAAAAGAAGCAATTGTCAGTGACAAAATTTTTGAAAAAGCAGAGAAGAAAGGGGTTTGGTTGTAGAGTATGATTATAAATCAGGCTAAATAGAAGTAGAAAATCTCAGCATTCATTAGAAAACAGAGGAAGAAGTGCTCCAACAGAGCCAGCCCATCCAGATAAGACATGTGGGATCTGGCTACAAATTGTTAGTGTGTGTTTTTATCATCTGCCATGGACCTCCCTCCTCAAAGGTGCACAATTTGAACACCCAGCTATGCCGTATTCATTTTTGTATCTCCCTCTAAAGTACATGCCCATGGTAGATGTTCAGTAAATGATGGTAGATCAAGCTCGGAAGACTAAGTATGAGTGGGTTAATATAGGAGAAAAAAGAGTAAGCTACGAATAAGTAACATACTTTCAGAGGGCTTAAACTTACTCTAGTAAAATATCAGAGAGGAAAAGCTGTGAAATAGGAGGATGGGAAATATTCTCTGGCACTGATTAAGCATGTTTGTTTTTCCATCCTTCAGATTTTCTTAGTGAGACTTAATTTACGTTTTCTCAGTTATAACTTTTCTCTTGTGTCCAGTTGGGCGTTTCAAGCCATCTGCCACGACAATCTAATCCTTGGAACATGTTTTGGCCTCCTTGTTCCTTCTGCTCTTGCCTTGGTTGACTCTGTCACCACACTGACTCCTGCACAGACTCCAGTGTGGGCTCTGTCCTTCCAGCATTGAACTGTGCCCTGCATTCTCTTTCCAGATCTCCTTTTCCACTGAAGACATGCGGAGGGATATCTTGATTCCATTTTGACTGTGCCTTTTCTAGGTTCGTATCTCTTGGTGGAAACACAGCATCTCTTCTGAGCCATGGGTACAATGTATAAACATCCATGGAAATCAAGTGTTTGTGCTGAGAGTGCAAATAGCCTATCGTCCATGGTTCTGATCTCTTGGCCCCATGGGTCATGGTAGGAATCTGGTGAAGTCTATGTACTCTCTTCCCAGAAAAGTGTGCCCACTTGAAAAACTGTGTGAACAATTCGAGGGAGTTCACAAACCGTCCTGGAGCCCATTGATGCCCTGAGGATTATGTATCCCTGCATCCCTGGAACTTACACATATTCTACGTTAGGATCGCTAAAAAGGAGGAGTTCACTGGAACCAGAACGCAGCTAGAATACACTGGAACTAGAATGCAACTAAGTGCAAAAAACCAGGCTGGGCACAGTGGCTCACGCCTGTAATCCCAGCACTTTGGAAGGTTGAGGCTGGCAGATCACCTGAGGTCAGGAGTTTGAGAGCAGTCTGGCTAACATGGTGAAACCCTATCTCTTCTATAAATAAATGAATTAATAAATACAAAAATTAGCCAGACGTGGTGGCAGGCACCTGTAATCCCAGCTACTGGGGAGGCTAAGGCAGGAGAATCGCTTGAATCTGGGAGGCGAAGGTTGCAGTGAGCCGAGATGGCACCACTGTACTCCAGCCTGGGTGACAGAATGAGACTCTGTCTCAAAAAAAAAAGCATATTTCTCGCATCATCTTCATACTTCTGACACGCTGGAGACAACAAATGGAAGATCAAGCCGGACTGGAGTGTTGCAGTTACCATCATAACATTACAACCGGAAGAAATCGTTTGTTTGATAATACAGCTTATAGCCTATATACACAGCCAGTTGAATTGTACACTGTCTACTTTGGGTGTGTCTTAAATATTTGGGACCAAGTCATTTTGGTTTAGGGGTGTGTTTGTGTTTGTATTTGTGTGTGAGAAAGAGAACAATATGAGTGTCAGTGTATATTTTAAACAGTTCACAGAACTTAAATCTTAAAATGTCTATCTAAAGAAAAATAAAGGATTTCATCTCCAAATATGTTTATATTTGTAATATGTATATGACTTTTTTCCTTTGGGCATTATGGACACTAACATTTTAATGTTGCTGGTCCTTTCCAGGGTGGACAAGCTTCATTTACACCATATCTGGAGATGTGTATATTGGTAAGTTATGGCTATGTCACTTAGGACTCAATTGCAATTTAATTTAAACTACTGAAGGCAGAAAAGGTAGGATGACACCATTTTATGTAATTGAATACTATGCCACCTTCTCTCCCATACCAGCCCTCTCTATATCCCAGCACAGGTATGCCCAGGGCAAGGTGCCTCTCACCTTACAGAATGTTCAGTGAGAGAAGAGAATATGAACACCAGTCATGACACAGCCTGTACACACAGGAAAGTCCAGGCACCATTATGTGTTTTGATACCTTGCTAGGACATTGGCAACCTTCATACTGATAAAGGGATGGAACTACAGTGGGCTCCAAGGGGAGCAGGAATCTGCCAGGAAAGTCCAGGCACCATTATGTGTTTTGATACCTTGCTAGGACATTGGCAACCTTCATACTGATAAAGGGATGGAACTACGGTGGGCTCCAAGGTGAGCAGGAATCTGCCTATCTCTTGGGAGGAGGAAGTGGAAGGAGATGAATTTGCAATGCTAGTTTCCTTTGAGAAATCTCAAGTGTTTTTTTTTTTTCTGTTCTTCCAAGGGTTATATATTTGTTGCTTGTTGAGTCTAATCAAGATATGTTTGAGACCCAACCAATGCTCATTTTATAGATGAAGAATGTGAAATCTAAAGAAAGTTGTTTAACTTGCCAGGGTTACACATTGG